GTAAAGACTTGTGTCGCTCAAGTTTCGTCGGTACGAAGTTACGGAAAATCAATTAACAACGGAGACGTAACAATATGATTTGCAATTATTATAGCATGATGTCATTTCTGTCTTTTATTTTTAGGTATATCTCTACACAAGTTAGTGTTTACTACCAATGGACAGTCACTACTAATCGCTTGACAACTGAATTTGTAAGTACTAGTACACACTTATTACAGACTAGTTGTTGAAAATTATGTTGCATCGGTATACACGCATACATATATAGAGATAGATAGATGGGAATGTTATATTATTTATTAAAATTACAATCTACCCTTAAAATTTATACAATATTGTTTTAAGTGCTATAAAGAAAACAAATTACGAATCTGTGAGACCTTATATACTGTTACGACAGCGGAAGTCACGTGACTCTGTTGGCGCTGGTGGCGTGGTGATGAGTTTTTCTAATGATCGGGGAAGTCTAAGTGTGTTGGAGATGCCCTCTTCGTTAGTATATAAGCCTGGCAGTGGAAAGCCAGCGGGGGGAGAGATAAATGAAGAGAGAGCAGTAGTTACTTTAAGTTTCGTGTAATTTATGATTCTGTTAGTTTTGAGCTAGTGAGTCGTAAAGTTTGTATTTTGCATTCGTCGAGAGTGAAGTAATCGAGATTGTGAATCGCTGTGATTTATAGCGTGTATTATAAAACTTGTGAAGTTTAAAGTGACGAGAAACGTACTGACTGTGGAATTACTGTGTACTAAAGGTTTGTATCGAGGAAGAATAAACTGGTTTAATCAAGAAATGACTTGTATCGCTGAAGATCCTCGGAGAGAATTTCTACTGGAAACAAACAAACAAGCAGATATGCAACAAATTGGTGTCAGAGAGGGGGAGAGAAAAGAAAAAAAAGATGGAAAGAGAAGTGGCAAAAAAATCAGCAAAAAGAAACAAGAAGAGAGACTACAGCAGTGGTTGGAGGAGAAAGAAAATAAACAAGAAGAGAGATTACAGCAGTTGTTGGAGGAAAAAGAAAAGAAACAAGAAGAGAGACTACAGGAGTGGTTGGAGGAGAAAGAAAATAAACAAGAAGAGAGAGTATAGCAGTGGCAAGAAAACCAGCACCAGTGGCAACTGTAACAAGAAAGGAAACAAGAAGAATGAGAAAGGAAACAGGAAGAAAGTCTCCAAAAGTTATAGGAAAGTCAGCAACAGTGGCAAGAAAAACAAGGAGAGAGAGTACAACAACAGCATGAAGTACAAATGGAAACGATTAATAAATTTCAAAGTGAATTAAATACATTAAAAGACGATTTACTGTCTTTCACACAGAGAGGATAAATTAGCCATGGACCTAATCAGCCCGAGACCAAAGGAAACCTCTTCCAGACCCTGCAGCTAAACCTTAATGCAGGTATCTTCAGTCCTGCCAGAAGTCACATTCCAGACATGAGTGTCAGCAATAGGGGTGATCTAGTACGAAGGAAGCCACAGAAATTCGATGGGAAGGCACCATGGGAAGCATATAGAGCACAATTTGAGCTCCTGGCAGAAATGAATGGATGGATAGAATAGCAGAAAGCAGTGTACCTGGCAACGAGCCTCAAGGGACAACCACTGGAAATACTTGGACAGTTGTCAACAGATGACAGGCACAACTATAGAGCACTGGTAGCTGCTCCAGAAATCAGTCCGAAGTCTACAGGGCTAGGTTTAGGACTAGAGTATGTGCTAAAGGGGAGAGCCCGCAAGAGCTGGCACAGGATTTGGAAAGTAAGGCACACAAGGCCTACCCAACTGCACCATCTGATGTCCTCAAGTTGTTGTTGATAGATCAGTTTATAGACGCCATGGACAGTCCACAACTGAAGATATAA